AAAGTTACGTGTGTCACTTAATCTCGTAGCTCTTTTTCCATGCTGTTACTTCTCCGCAGTTGGTAAATAGGTATAATTAAATTGGTCGCTTTTTATTACGTCCAATAGAATGCATACATCAATTTATGCTCTATAATATCGGGCAAACGATCATTGTTTTGAGTCTTTATCGAGATAACTGGAGAGATGACTTTACCTACTATTGCGCAATTACTTCACATCTTAAACATACAAAAACCGTTTCATTGTTTACAAGGAGATCAAATAACTCAAGTTGCGCCTTACCTTTAGATTGACAACTGTATGTTTCAAAATTAAGTTTTAATGTAGACTACATACTTTCCCCGTATTCCCATCGTATTTGACCCAAGATATGAAACTTTGTCATACTGAACTATGTTATTGGGAGATATTTTATATTGAGTGTCAGACGTTCTCCAAATTTAACACCAGATAGACCAGATAGACGGATAATATCTAAAAAGTCCTTTTGCGTTGAAACAAACGGAACCACAATTACGGTCATCTAGAGAGGTTTGTTGAACAGGGTGTAGCTTCAACCACACTCGATGGGAGAGGTTTTCGTTTGGTTTCTGGTAAGAAGCAAGTGAGAATGGTAGCCACGAACGATAAAGCGGCGAGAAGAATCATTGGCCATAGTTCCCATATGGAACCCTGTTAACATCAATTATCCTTTTTATCAATACTTGATGAGAAAGAAAACTTACTAGCAGTTTTATGTATGGCGCTGCTATGGCTCCACTTCTAGAAAGCATAGAGCATAGACCGACGCAGCCATTTCGAATTGGCGTTGGAAACACTTCGCTGGCATAAACGAACAAAGACATGAAAGAACAACTGATTGCAAATTTCCCCAGCACCCAGCAGCAAAGCGATAGCCATGAGTCTGCTAAAAGAAAAGGTCGAAGGAAAAAAATTGACAACAAAGTACAAAAGTAAAATCTTCAATGCTCAAATCGGTCTGTATTCCTATTGGTACTATAACTCTTACCATCTGCAAACATTGGAACTAGAAAACAAAGTGCTGCCAAGAAATGAGCGCCGGCAACAACAAATCTTCTTCCCAACCTAAACTCAATGTTTCATTTTTTGCTTTCAGTTTTTTTCACTCCGTCCGCTTTCAACCATTCTTCATGCTCGATTGATGCACAATATGGAAGCGCTCACGTCCATCATATTTCTCCCAGTCTGTCAAGTCCAAATGGCTTGCACTTATGCTATCGCAGTTAGCGTATGAAAATTGTAAAAGTGCAAAAAATTTTGAGTGTCAAATATGATTTTTTAGATTTATAATTTCGCGACCATCTCTACAAAAGCAAAAAACGTTTACTTTCGGAAAAAGCAACTCACATAGTTAACAGAACTGGTCCAACGATGTAGGCTGGTAGTTCAACTAGACCCAGTAACAGATAATTCGCGTAAGCATTTCCAGCCAAATGGGTGCTATACAGTGAAAGTCCAAAGTAGATGAAGTTGTCACATGTCCTGATACCGTTCAACAATTGGATGTAATGTAGCATGGCTGCGATGCATTACCACAAATACAACTGTATAGTACAGTAAGCGATGAAGATCTTATGTTGCCAAATATCCTCGAAAAAACTGTGACTGTAAACAGCTGGTGAGTACCATACCGCAATACATTCAACACTTAAACCTTTGAGGAGACGAATTATCCTTGAATTTGCGAATCAAAATCTCTGCATCCTTTTGATCGACTGCGTACTCAAAGCCTTTTAGCCATTTGTGTATATTCTTTGGCTTTTTAGAAATAAGATAATGCAGAGTCTCTGGAACAAATCTGCAACCAGTTTTAGTCGCATGTGGCGATAGCCATGTAATTCCTACAGTTTTACACGAAATGAATTTGCAGCACTCACTTCCAACACCAGAATGTATATATGAGTGTAGAAAACGATGTTGCAATCATCAGTCGTCTCCAAGTCGTAGATAAATAAACTATAAACGCTACTGCACAGTAACCAAGCACCCATGTTGCTCCGAAAAAAAATGTCGTGAACGCACGAAGCTTAGTTGGCGTGTTTTCGTAGGCAGCCACCCAGGCGACTAAATTAACGCCCTGCAAAAAGTAGTG